TGGATATGCAGAGAATCAGAAAGGGTACTGCTGCTATGATCCAGTCTCTAGAAACCGGTTTGTTACTATGGACATCACCTTTTTCGAATCTACATACTTCTTCTCAAGGAATCCTTCTCAGGGGGAGTGTTTTGGGGAAGTAAGTCAGCAGTCTATCCCTCTCCCAGTTCCAGTTCTTGTGTCTACTCCTATGCTTGACCACCACCCGATGTCACCCCCCTGAGTTAGAATTCCTGAAACTAAATTTTGATGGAAGCAGCTTTGGGAATCCAGGCCCATATGGAATTGGAGGGGTTATTGTGTGTATGTACTCGGGCCCCATAGGAATGAGCGGTTCTGTAACAGCAGAACTGAATGCAGTGCTCTTTGGATGCAGAAAACCATGGAGATGGGGGGCGAGAAAGCCGGTAGTTGAAGGAGACTCCAAAATAGTGATAAGTTGGCTGAAACAGAATGAGAAGACTCCTTGGTATTTCAGAAATGAAATTAAAAAATTTAGAATTTTTTCAAGGGACATATGTAGTTGATAATTCAGTGGACTCCAAGATCTGCCAATGATCTAGCTGACCAATTAGCAAAACAAAGGGTGAATAGGGAACACTGTTTTTGGGCTCAGATGTAAGACTAAAAGATATTAAGGCTATTCTCGTTTTTCAGGGAGGTAGCCAACACTACCCATGATTTGTATATGCATTATTTCATTAAGTAATAAATTTTGATTCTGTTACTGATAAAAAAAAGTTTCCACTAGTGATGTTGGGCCTTAAATTGGCCCAATAATGTCTCACATTAAACACTTGGATATTCATTCATTCTACGAGCCCAAGTCCATTAATTTGAATTGAGAAATCTTCGTCAGGTTTGGGCCTAATTGACACTAGTACAAAATCTCTCGGCCAATAATATCAATACACTGTCGATAGGGAAGGACTTTTTCCCTAATTGCGAAATGTAGTGTCACACTCTCTACTCAGCTGGATCTTGAGAAAAAAACCATTTGCAAACTCTTATTACAAAGTAAACTATTTATTAATATAAATAGATTTTGCAAACATGACTCCAAAACAAGCTAAAATCCACCACCAACTGTCTTTGGTTTCTATCAAAGAGGGTGTAAATCGGGTTATTCTCTTTGTCTGGCAAAGTGGCTAATCCTATCACAATGATCACTCACTTAAGCACCATTCTAATTTGCTCCAATATGCCCAGGTATTTGACCCCGGAAAGATCTCACCCGTTGGCATTGTCAAAATTAAACTTGTCTGATACTTAGTGCAATATCATTATCAAGTTGGGAGATCACATGCAACTTTCATAAACACCTATCCTTGTACCTTGGATCCAACCCTAGCAACTGAGACCAACTGCTCCAGTCTTGAGCAGTACAAGAATGTCAATTTTGTCATGATATACTCCTCAAGTCCATCCATCAGTTGAGATCATTCAAGCTTACATAAGTCTTATATAATGTATAGCTTAGGTAGGGGTGGCAAATGGGTGGGTTGGGTGCAGGTTGGTTACCAACCCACCCATATTGACCCACTGACCCATTTGTCACCCCTATTTATTGGGTATTAGTGGGTCACAACACAACCCACTTTGACCCTGACCCACCCTAACCCACCCATATGACCCACCAACCCAATGCAATTATTAATAAAATACAAATATTAAGAAAAACACAAAAATTGGCATAAATTTGCAAAAAGACACATTGATAAAAAAATGCAGAAAATCATGAAGGGCTTGAGGACTTCAGCTCCATCACTCTCTTCAACTGCACGAATATGAAAAGATGCCTAGAAAGAACACCGGCAACATTTGTACAGCATTATTTCATGAACACTAAATGACGGAGAGGTGGAGCAGATCAGATACTCGGTCAGAAACACATCAAGTCATGAACCCACCAGGCTGAGACACTCATAGTTAACATATGGGCAAAGTTACAAGCACCTCTGGGGAAATCAATTCAAGGTATAAATAATTAGTGCTTATTAGAGCTGTTATGTTGTTCATCTTGAGCTCTCAGCAGTGCCTTCTAGGAAAGAGTTTAATCCATTAAAAGAACGAGTTTGCTGTGTTAGAATGTAATCATCTTTGGTTGTGGTGGGCTATCATCAATGCACTGGTTGATCCAAATCTCATGAACCAGTACTATTTTAAAACTCTTGGCGGAGGCTCTGAAATTATGCTGATCCAGATCAGATAGTGTCGGCGTTGTCTATGGAGAGGTGGAATAGATGTACAACATCATTTAATGGTGCTTTAAGTTTCTCTACTGCTGGCAATTAGCGAACCAGTGGATTTCTTGATGGAGAATCCCCAAACAGGTACCATGAATCATTGGGAAGATCAATGATTCTCAGCTATGGGCCTGATTCAAAGAAAATACCGAGATTCAATGATATCTTCTTTGCTGTGGATAGTTGTCCCATTGCACAAGGTGGCATTGTCAGACTGAGCATAGTTGAACAAAGCTCCTTGGGAGATTCTCAAATTTAAAACAAAGCTCTTGGGAGATTTGAACTCTTTTCCTAATTTCCCCTCAACCCTGACATAATCTGACCCTATGGGTACCCTTGACCCAATCCACCCTAACCCTCTTCTTGCTCGACCCATATTGGTCCGCATGAAAGATGGGTGGGTCAAATGGATTGGGTCAAAAATTGCCAGCTAAGTTTAGGTGTATTTCACAGGAACATACTCTTATACTACTTGATACATAATAAAAGTCAACTGATTTTATTCATTCATAATAATGTTAGGATATAGTATCCTATTGGAGCTGAGGGCATACACTGTCTAATAGTTACGCCCTTACAAATGGTGGATCCTCTGCATTCCTTCTATATATGTGCTATGTCTATCCTGTCTTCTTCATGTACCACTAATAATAGTAGTAGTCATTTTAATCAGTACTGAAATCTTCAATGTTTTCTTGTAGCCATAGTGACTTGTAGGTTGTAATTTCCTTGTTTTACTAGGAAAAGTATGATGTAAGAATGTTTCTGTCATTTCATAGTTGCAATATTAAGATTATGCTTCTGCTTCTTCATAGAACATCTGAGGGCCCTGATATTTTTAGATTTTAGAATATTCTATTAATTACTCTTGTTTTCATTCTTGCATTTAGGTTAAAGGTAGCACCCTAACAAAGGGAGCAAGGGCTTTGGCTAAGCATGTTAACAGGAGTAGTGATGGATGGTGGGGTAGCTTCCAGGGAAATGGTGAGTACCTCAGAGCTAGCAATCTTATTTTACCCTTTCAAGGATTTCTTTTCTACAATTGCAATGTTTTAAACTTTTAAACACCTTTGGCATGTTCTTCTTTTCATTAATGCGAATAATACCAAATTTCTTCTTACAGAAACAGAAAGGAATAATATTTGATTACTGATTACATGCCTTCTTTTATGCAAATAATAAATAATTCTGTCCCCCAGCTCCCAAAAACAAAAAAAAAAGAAGAAAACAAACAAGGGAAAAAAAATAGCTATAAATCTGAGCCCATTTCAAAATTTGTGACTTTCAATACCTCAGGGATAAACTGGGATTTTGGGTTCAGAAGGGGTCTTAGGGACTTGGAAGTTGGAATGTGGGTCTCTGATAATCCTTTTGGCAAGCTAGACTCTGTTTTCCTAGACCAAAGTATAGAGGATACAAGGGTTTGGGCACTTTCTACCGATTGCATCTTCACTTGTGCGTCTTTTTTCAATAACCTAATTCAGCCTACCACATTGGGTTTGAACCTCCCGGTAAACGAGATTTGGAGCAAGCCAATCCCACCAAAAATTAAGGCCCTTTGCTGGGAGATCTTTCTTGGGAAGATAAATACCTGTGATTTTCTGCAGAAGAGAAGGCCAAATAATTGCCTTTCCGCACATGTTTGTTGCCTTTGCAAAGCAAGTGGAGAGAGTATCTTCCATCTGTTTATTCACTGTACACTTTGTGTTTGGGAGCATTTCTGTTCTCTTTTTGGATGCAGGTGGACTCCTCCCCAGGATGTGGTGGGTCTCTTTGATCCAAACTTCCAGAGGCAGGCAAAGAAAAGAGGAAGGATTCTGTGGAAAGCAATTAGAGAAGTACTGATTTGGACTATTTGGGAAGAAAGGAATGGGAGTATTTTCAATTAAAGATTTAGATCAGAGTTGGAAATCATAGAAACCATAAAGATAAAAGTTGCACATTGGGTAAAAACTTTGGAAATCTTCCATGTTTTCTCCTTCAATGATATTCTGAGATCATGGAAGGAAGTGGCAAACTTGGCCCAAGAGAAAGAAAGGGTTATTATGGAAAGGAGACCGCCAACACCTAATTCTGTGAAACTAAATTTTTACGGGAGTTTTTTAGGAAATGAAGGGAGGGCTGGTTTAGGGGGTGTATTTCGAGGTGTTAGTGTCAAGTATGTAGGGGTATTTCTGTCTTTATACTTATGTTGAGGTTGCTGATGTGTAATATTATGTTAGAACTAGTGTTCCTCACTTAAGTAGGGGCACATGTGTCTTTTCCATTATGTTAGTAATATAAAACACATTTGGCCGAATGGGAGAGGCAATTTTTCTCTCATTCGAACCAGACTTGTCTTCTCTTCTTTTCTTCTCCTTTCTCTCTCTCTTTCTTTCTTCCTTCTTCTCCTCTCTTCTTGGCTGTTATCAGACTAACAGAACTCAAGGGCAGGTCGAATTATAATATGGTATCAGAGTCAACTAAACAACTCGGATCTGCCCAAATTTTTGTTTTCTATGCACCTAGCCTAGGGTTTTCTCTTGATTTCTTTGTCACCGGTTGGAGATAAGGGAAAGGGCTGAAAAGGAGTGGTCGCCCTCTTTCCTTGGAGGTTTCTATGCCTCCAGTTGTGCTGTTCGTGGTCGGTTGTTGTGGTTCCTAAGAAGTCTTCCCCTAATCGATGAAGAGAAGAGGGCTGATTCGTGTGGTGCAGTGGGTGTCTTGTGTGGTCTGATTTTCGGGTGATGAGGTAAGAGATTTCTATGCAATTTTCTTTGTTGTGAATCAAATAATAAGTATGTTTCAGATCATATGGTGGGATTTCAGAGTGGAGTGTGCTAGGGTTTATGTTGTTTTCAGTGTGATTTGAAGGGGAGCTCAGTTTGGCCGTAGTGGTAGCAGTGGTCCTGTATATGGCTGGAGTGGTGGTGGTGTACCTACATATAACCGTGGTGGTGGTCATACTGGAGGTAGAGATTCAGGGGGAGTCCGTGGCAGAGGATGTAGTTCGGGTCCGAGGAGGTGTACTCACTATGGTATGGATGGACATACCATTAATTATTGCTATGACTTGCATGGTCCACCCTCAACTTGGGCCAATCATGCCATGACTAGTGACAATAGCTTCAGATAGGAGAGTCGTTTAGCTGATCAGATGCTTCCTACATCCACAGATGTTCTTGGGAAGATGATGAGTGTTCCCCGTGATGAGTATGAGAGGTTTGTCCAGGCCACATCTCAGCAGAACACGACTACTCTTGCTCACTCAGGTATGGCTTGTCTGGCATCCACACCCAATCCCCGGATTATTGACTCTGGAGCCTCCGATCACATGACTAGAACTCCAGGTGTGTTTTCTTCCCTCTCTCATTGCTCAACATCACAATCTGTTACCCTTGCTAATGGTTCCACATCCTCCATTTGTGGTGTTGGCAGTGTTAACATGACCCCCTTACCTTTATCCTCAGTTTTGTATGTCCCTAAATTTCTGTTTAGCCTTATGTCTGTTAATAAGTTGACCAAGTCATTCAATTGCTCTATTACTTTTTACCCTTCTTCGTGTGTTTTTTAGGATCTCAAGACGGGGATGAAGATTGGTGGAGGGCATGAAGCTGGTGGATTGTATTATCTTGACGGTGGTGGAAGAACATCAACATTTCTCCAGTCATCTCTCTCTCCTCTCTAGTGGCATTGTCGATTTGGTCATCCTTCGCTGAAAGTTTTGAAGCCTTTGGTTCATTCGTTGAGTCAACTTTTTGTTTTAGATTGTGAATCGTGTCAGTTGGGGAAACATCATCGTGTTCCCTTTACTCCTAGGGTTGATAATCGTGTGATGAGTCCTTTTTCTTTGGTTCATTCAAATGTTTGGGGTCTTTATAAAGTGATGTCACACAATGGATATAGATATTTTGTCATTTTTGTTGATGATTATTCAAGCATGACGTGGCTCTATTTAATGAAAGAAAGGAGTGAATTGTTTACCATTTTCCAAAAATTTTATGTTGAGATTCRYAACCAATTTGGTGTTCACATTAAAATTTTTCGTTTCGATAATGGTCGTGAATATTTCTCTTCATCATTTCAAGAATACTTGGACCAACATGGCATTATACATCAGACCTCATGTACCTACACCCCACAACAAAATGGGGTGGCTGAGAGAAAGAATCATCATCTTTTGGAAACAGCTCGATCTCTCATGCATCACATGATTGTTCCCAAATCCTTTCGGAGTGATGCGGTGCTTACTTCTCGCTTCTTGATTAATCAGATGCCCACGTCTATCCTTGATGGTCATTCCCCATTCACTATCTTGTTTCCCACCTTATCTCCATTTCCTCTTTCTCCTTGGATTTTTGGGTGTGTCTGCTTCGTCCATAATCTGGGCCCCGAGAAGGACAAGTTAGATGCATGATCCATCAAGTGCATCTTCCTTGGCTATTCCCGGACCTAGAAAGGGTATAAGTGTTATCATCCTAGTTTTCGACGTTCCTTTGTGTGTGCTGATGTTACCTTCTTTGAGTCTACTCCATTTTTCTTGGGGTCTGGTGACGTTTCTTCCTCATCACCTCCTCTTCCTCTTCCAGTTGCGGATTTTGTTCCTCTTGTTCCAGTTGTGACCAAGTCCTTGCCTCCAGTGCCACCACTTGTTGAACGACCACCTATCCGTCAAGTGTATACACATCGCCCACATGTACCGACTGCTCCTTCTCCAGCTCCATCAATGTCGATAGATCCGACAGTTGCCCCCACACCATTTTCAAACCCAGTATCTGATCTTGGTCTTCCCATTGCCTTGCGGAAAAGTAAACGCACTTGTATCCTACATCCTACATCCTATTTCTAATTATGTTTCACTCACTCATCTTTCCGCTTCCCATCGCCAGTTTATCTCTTTGTTATCCTCTGTTGTTGTCCCTAAGGATGTTCAGGAAGCCCTTGCCTCTCCAGGATGGCGCCGTGCAATGGAAGAAGAACTCTCAGCTCTAACTCATAATCATATGTGGGACCTCACCACTTTTCCTCCTGGGACGCAGGTTGTCGGTTGTAAGTGGGTTTATACTGTTAAGTACTTACTTGATGGTAGTGTAGAGCGACTGAAACCTAGACTGGTTGCAAAAGGGTACTCTCAAACCTATGGTATTGACTACACAGAGACCTTCTCCCTGGTTGCTAAGATAGGTTCGGTTCGTGTTGTGATCTCTCTTGCTACTATGTATGATTGGCCCCTCTATCAGCTTGATATCAAGAATGCTTTCTTGCATGGTGATTTGCTCGAGGAGGTCTATATGGRGMAACCATCGGGGTTTGTTGCTCAGGGGGAGGATGGTAAGGTATGCAGACTAAAGAAGGCTATTTATGGGCTTAAATAATCTCCTTGAGCGTGGTTTGGTAGGTTTAGTGAGGTGGTAAAGAAGTTTGGTGTGAAACAGTGCCAAGTTGATCATTCAGTCTTCAGTCATGACTCTCAGGTAGGAAAAATCCTATTGATGGTGTATGTAGATGATATTGTTATTATCGGGGATGATAAAATGGGCATTGACAAGTTGAAGACTTTTTTGCAAGAACATTTTTAGACAAAGGACCTTGGTAAATTGAAATATTTCTTGGGTGTAGAAATAGCAAGGTCTAAGCATGGTATTAATTTGTGTCAGAGGAAATATGTGCTTGATTTGCTGGAAGAAGTAGGTTTGTTAGGTGCTAAACCAGCTGAAACACCTATGGAAACAAACACTAAGCTGAGTAGTGATATGGGTGAAGTGTTTGAAGACCCTGGTAGATACCGGTGACTTGTAGGTAAACTGAACTACCTAACCATTACTCGACCAGATATTTCATTTGTTGTTAGTGTGGTAAGTCAGTTCATGCAGAAACCTTTGGTTCCTCATTGGGATGCAGTTCTAAGAATTGTGAGGTATTTAAAGGGGGCTCCTGGTCGTGGTTTGATATACAAAAGTGGTGGAAAACTTGAAATAGAAGGATATATTGATGCTGATTGGGCC